GTGACCACATTCGGAGGGCAGATTAGCCGTCTTTACATTGAACCTTATGGGGAAATTTACCTCGACTTGAGACCAACTCGAGTTGCAACCAGAGTCACGGAACGGATTAAGTTCGTAACTAGAGGTACCGCTGTATTTTGAAAGATTTTTCAAATGATAACTCCTGAGTAATCTATATGATCATTTGCCCCATAATAAGGATGATTGAACGGATTAAAAAAAAATGGGGAGAAAAGATTAAGGCCACTCAGGACTATACAATATAAACTCCAAATTAGGTGCCAGGAGATTGGTGCTCCATTTTTCACTCAGTTTTCAACAATAACCATCATACTATTGGCTTAACATGAGCATTTTAGAGGCTGTGAAATCACAATATTTGGAATACAGAGAGGTGTTTTAAATTTACATCCTATAGTCTACACAACCAACATGGCTCAGTGATAATCAATCTATGCTATAATGCTACATGCGTTTGCATTCCTCTAGACCAGTGATGGCAAACCTATGACAATCGTGTCAAAGGTGACATGCCACGACATTTTGGATAACATGCCAGCGTTCACCAACACCCGACAACAACTGTTCTCCCTGTTTGAGTTACCAAAGAAACTGAGCTTGTATTACTCTTATTTCATTTTTGTAATTATTTGGCGTTTCTTTATATAGTACATAGCACCAGACATAATTGGACTGTATTTTTTTTTTTAAGTAAATGAGTATGTAAAGAATTCTTTTTCTTTTGTTGGGGGGGGGAATGACACGCCAGCAGAGTCAAGTTAGGCATTTTCCAAATTTTTGACACACCGAGCCCAAAAGGTTTGTCATCGCTGCTCTAAATCCTTTCAGAGCTCATGTCCTTTACATTTTTTTTTTACCATGAGTTACTGCAGAGTGATAAAGCAGTAACTCATGGTAAAAGAGATAAGTATGTATTTGTGTTTATTTGCAATTAAGGATAAAATGTGGCAAAACAAATCTCTGTCTAAGAATAAACTGAAGCAGAGTAAAACTTTTACTTTGTATAAAAACAGCTGTTTTACTATTACAGAACAGTTTTCATTAAACTTCTTAAATTATGAGTTTGATACAGCTGCAAAAACATCAGAGGAATGCAGGAAACTTAACACCATTTGTTCCCTGGATTGATACATCTGTGTAGGGCTTCGTTTTTCCTTGTACATATGCTTTTAGTTTACATCTTAATGAAGGGCTGAAAAAATGTTAGAATTTGGTCATTTCATTAAGAAAAATTCTGTTTATTTTGCTAGCAGCAAAACAGAAGCGATTTATTAGTATGATAAGAGAGACTTATTATGGGTATTTAGTTGTTGAGATATTCTCCATCATATATATTTGATGTGGAATGAATTTAGTTTATTGGAAGGGAAAAAGTTTTCTTCACCACCAACATAATCCGCTATTGTAACTGTGGAGATGCCTCATGTTGACTGAATGTTGGCAGCTTTAGCATTATGTATATATGTTTTATGCTGGCTATATAGGTCTACTATTTACATTCCATCCATACTCGTCCACAATTTGAAGTTGCAATCCTATAGAACAATTACCTTAAGTAGTTTATTCCTATTGTATTTTCACAGCTTGTTCTCCCATGCTCTTGGTGCCCAATTCATGCTTGGTACCGAGGGGAATACTTTCCTTTTTTGTTACC